TCTGATTTTTTTCAATTCTTTATGTATTCTAGATAGTAGACCTTTGTCTGAGGTACAGCTGCTAAAAAATTTTTTTCCACATTGTAGGTTGTCTCTTAGCTGTGTTGGTAGTTTCTCTTGCAGGGAGCACTTAAGTTTTACTTGAGTTTCATTTATCAATTGTTATGGTTTGAATTGTGTCCGCTAGAAGCAGATATGTTGGAGAATTAATTCCCAGGACCTCACTCAGAATATGACCTATTTGGAAACAGAAATCATTAAGATGCTGTTCTTTTAAAAATGGAAAATTGATCCAGGAATGGTGGTACGTACCTGTAATCACTCTGGGAGGCTGAGACAGACAGATCACAGGTTCAAGCCTGGCCTAGACAATTTAGCAAAATCCTGTCTCAAAATTTTTTTTAAAAAAAATGTTTTTAAGGAGGACCTGGGGATGTAACTCAGTGAGAAGTCCCTGAGTTTGATCCCCATAACTGCAAAATCATAATAATCATAATAATAATAATAATAATAATTTAATCCACTGCAATGTTGATGACAGAATAGTGCACCCAATGGCTGTGCCCATGAGCCCAGGTGGCAACTTGCCTCAAAGTCAGATTTGGATTTCCCAGACAAGAAAAGTGGTACATCACTGTAAGCCAGGTGAGGGTCAGGACCTCCCATAGCTATGCCACCTATTTCTCCTTTCATGCCCACCACAGCTCCCCATCCTACCACCATCAACTTTCATAACAGTGAATCAGCCTACTCTCCTGCTCAAAACTCAATAATGCCTCCCCATAGCACTTACAACCAAATCTCCACATGCGGAAGCCTCTGCTAGATTCACCCGACACCCAGGTAAAAACCTTCTGCCTCAGCATTTCTGTTGACCACACTCTTTCCCCACCTCCATTGCCCTCAACTGGCTAAGCTCCAAGAATCTTCCTCCAAGAAATACTCCTCCAAGAATCTCTTCCTGATCTTCCACCTTTTATTAGCCCCTCAGTGGATGCTCTCAGAGAAACTTGGCTTTATCTTGCCAAGATTTTATCATGGTTTTGAGGTAGGAGGGCTGGGGCAAACCAGACGACTAACTGGGCAAAATGTGTCAAAAGTGATAAAAACCCATGGCTGACAAGTTGAGTGAGACAGTTTCTAGAATGAGAGATCGTGCACAGAACACGGGACCCAACGTGACGTCAGGTTTAAGACTGAATACTGTAGACCAATCAACCCAAAAAGTGCTAGTTTTCAATCCTTCCTTTGAATCTGGTGCCGTTCACAGGACCAATCAGAAGATGCTATTTTCAATCCTTCATTTACATGTGGACACAACCAATCAAAAGACACTGTTCCTCATCTTTCATTTACATCTGGTATGAAGCCAAGCAAGTCTTTCAATAGGGCACTTTAAATCTGGCAGCAGAACAAGTGAGTTTCTGATAGGACAACTGTCCCAATGCCTTATTTGCATGAGAAGGGAGCCAATCCAGGAGTTTTGAATACAAAAGCTCCTTTCCCTATGTCATTGTGGCTGGGGCCACTCAGCCCTTTCACCAGCCTACTCTCACCCCTGTAGGGTGTACATCTTTTCCTTTTTCAATAAATACACCCCTCAACTGCCTTTTCTGTGTGTCTTGTGTAATTCTTTGTTTGGGACATCAAGAACCTGGGAAGAGCGCCCCCTGGGCCCCTCCATCCAATAACATTTTCTACCAACATGTTTATGTATGTGGTTATGGGATTCATGTTCATATCCCACACCAGATTAAAAACACTGTGAGTGTTGGACGCCTGTTTTGCCCCCTTTGACTTGCCAGTCCTTACCACAGTGCATGACATTAAGTAGATACTCAATTAAAATTTCTTTAAATAAATGAACAAACTGAGTTCTACTCCTTAACCCATTAAAACAAAACCAATTTATTTGGATGAACATAGAATTCACATCACATGTCTCCTCCAAACAAGTCTCTTGATAACTTTACAATCATTAGCCTGGTTCCAATTTCAGTTTTCTATCATTTTCAGGTTACCTTGCTGGTCAGGGTCCCTGAAGGAAGCAGATGGCACTCACGGATAGGGTGACTGAGGAGCATTTAGTGAAGGGGCTGGTTAGGCAGTGTGGGCAGGGTTAAGGGAAGCCAGCAAGGGATGGGGCTGAGAATAATGAGGATTTGTTAGCATTCCCAGGCCAAAGGCACAAGGAAAGGGGTGGACGCCAGAACAGAAGAGAGCTGCTCAGGTATCAAGCTCCCTGTCAAGAACAGCAGACTTGAGGGATGGAGACCCAGAAGGGAAGGGGCCCAAAAATAAATATCCCAACTCTGTTCTCCTACTTCTCAGTCTCATGACACTCAACTACATGGCTGGACCCAGTGGAAGCCAGAGTGCCGAGAGCCAACTGATGGGCCCATAAAGCTCAGCTTCCAGGATACAGGGCAGAGTAAATGAATGAAGAGAGCAGCTACAGGAAAAAGTAAAGACATCCATCCTGGAGCTGACGCCCCACACTGTTACTTACGGAGAACTTGGTGCTTCTTCCATTCTTCACCGATGCTCATCTTCTGTTTTGAGATCTCTCTCGAATTTAAAGTTCTGTTGGACCTTCTGGTGGAAGATTTCTCTGCCAAGAACCATGGTCATGACCCCCAGCAGAAAGTCCATTTTATATAATGTAAGTGCTAATTCAGAAGTCTCAGCTCTGATCTTTTAACACTTCCTGGCCACTTCCATGGCTTGCTCTCTCTTTTAGAGTTGTCACATCAAGAGTAAAAGAGAGAGAGGCAGCTGAGTGCAGTGGCACACACCTATGATCCCAGTATTCTGTGAGGCAGAGGCAGCAGGATCCACGTTTGAGCCCAGCCTGGGGAACTTAGCTACTTAATGAGACTTTGTCATATAATTTAAAAATAGAATAAGAAGTGGAGATGTAGCTCAGTGTGAAGGCCCTGGATTTGATTCTCAGTTCTGCAAAGTGAATAAAAGACACAAGTTCAATTTGGTCCTGCCTTCTGAGTGCCCAAGTCATCTCCTAGCATTTCTGCAGCTTTGGAGTTATGAGGTCCCTTTGGGAGTAAATGCTGTCCAGTCCCCAGTCATCTCCCTGGGACCCAAAGCATGCATGTGGACTGGAGGCCACATCCCAGGGACAGGGGCCAGTGATTCTTGCCTTTGCTCTGGGGAGCAGGTGTCTCATACTCTTTTTCATCTCGGGGGCTCAATGGCTGTCTCACTTTCCGGCCCTAAAGTGTCCCGCTCAGGCTCTGCCTCGCCTTCCTCTCGCTCGACCTTAGTGCTTGGAACCTTTTGCTTCAGACTAGTTCTGACATGGAGCAGCTGGCTATGGAGAATTCTGATCCATGCGCCCATAGGCTGAGGGTGCCCCCCACCCCAAGTTAAGGCGTTTCCTTTAAATTAAAATATCAGCAGCTTAATGCAACCTAGAAGCTCTAAGTTGTCATGAGTCGCCCATGCCACGCCCACACTCATTTCCCTAACGAGCTCTCCTGTCCTTCCCCGTGGCAGCTCAGTTCCCATCCCTCACTTGCAGCCAGGTCGTGTCCTCTCCTTTGCCCTTTGTCACAGGGTCAGCAGAGGAGGAAGAACTGCAGGGACCATGGGGCCCTCCTGGCTCCCAGCCCAGCAGAGGCTTCGATGGCTGTTGGAGAGGTTGCTGTGTCCCCCGGGAGCGAGCACCCACTGGGCACTGTCCTCACAGCAGCCGGGTCAATGAAGGGGAATCCAAGCAGGAAGCCCTGGTGCCCAGGTGGCAGGGCTGTGGGTGGAGGGGTACGGAGGGATGGAGGGGACCCAGGTAAGGGGCTGCCCTGCCCTGCGCTTGGCCCAAGCGGGGCCTCCAGACACTCCAACTTCAGGCTTAGTTGCTTTCCTATCCCTTCACTAGGATGAGTGTTCTTTAAGCCCCTCTAAATATTTTCAACATTAAACAGAAAAAAACCCACAAATCCCCAAATCAAAGCACAATAAAAAGCAAAGGCATCAGGAAAAATAACAAGAGATAAAAGCTCCCCATCCAAGCCACAGACAAGGACTCCTTGGATGGCCTTGGGGGCCTGCAGTTAACCCTCTGATGCCTGCCTAATGGCACCTCCCTGTCTCAGCCTCCCTCACCTCTCCTCAGTCCTGTCCACTTCCAGAGGAGCAGGGAAGGCTGTTTGCCTTCAGCTGGGCTGTGGACAGATCTCTCTCTCTCTCTCTCTCTCTCTCTCTCTCTCTCTCTCTCTCTCTCTCTCTCTCCTCCACCCTGCCCACCACAACCCTGGCATCTCAACACCTCTTCCCGCACCTCAGAGGCAAAGGAATTTCCCCTGTGACGCCGGAACAC